AATATAATTCTCTATACTTTTTATCCTATACATAATTTCTCTAAAATGGACCGTATTCAAGATATTTGAAAAAATGTGTAAATTTCGAATTTTGAAGAAAACTCAAAAACGAATAAAGAAAAAAACATACAATTTTAAACTTAGTTTTATTTCAGCCTGACGTAAGATCATTAGATTTTGGACAAAGTCTGAGAATTAGGTTGAATTTAAGAATATGATGTATGACTCATCTAAAAAATTTTGATGGATAAAAGAACAGTTTTGATGAAATTTAGATGGCATCGATGAATATTAGAAAACGCCTTATTATTTTTTAAATTTTATGAGTGACAATTCTGTCTAAGTAATTGTCAGTCTATTTTTAAGATACCGAGATTCAACATACATAAAAATGTGTTAGTTTAGTATAGAATCGATAAATAACAGCATTTCTTTTTATTTTATCCACATTTACAAATAAATCTTAAATTTTAATTAAACTACCTATATAAAACTAATTTAATTACAAGTATTAAAACTAAAATCGTAAGTGTGGCGATGGAAGTGAGGACACGGGGCTTGTCTTCTACGTGAGAGCTCCAAGTTCAAATCTGAGCAGAGGACTAATTAAATTAAATCTTTCTTTTATGTTTATTTTATTTTATAAATTAGTAAAAGTCATAAATTATTTTAAAATTAGTTATTTTTTCTTAAGAACCTAAAATATTTTTTTAAATTTGTAGATTTTTGTTAGTGAATCATAGAAAAAATAAGCTGTACAACTCGAGTGGATTGTCCATATCCAATCGTGTTGCACAAACTACTAAACTCGTTCGACTTTGGCTTTTGCATCGTTATTTTACCGTCTCACAAACAAATGCATCCAGCAAATGTAGTTTGTGGATAAAGCGTTGACTTTTCAAAGTCGTGTAGATTCAGGTCTCGGTGTAATAATTTTTGGTTTAATTTTTTTATACATACTGTTTAATTTTATTAGAATAATATTGACATTTATATTTTATTCTGGTTTTATATTCACATTTGTCCTATGTTCACAATGTGTCATGTATTCACATTTGTCAATGAATTGTAAAAGAAAAAAATACCTATGCACGTGTTAAGTTAAATGTGTGTTACGCTGAAACGTTTTCTCCAAAATTTAATTTAGTTTTTTCTGAACATAACAAAAAATTGAAATTTTAAAAAAGTGGCTCCAGAAGAACACCACAGATTTAACCTACACGTAAATATTATTTGCTTGGCTATAGGTTATTATTTCGTAGAGCTGCGTACATTCGTTGGCCGTCGTTAATACACATGCATTTGTTGTTTGATCAAACGTTCGTTGGGACACCTATCCGAATTAAATGTTCATTATGGTATGATACTTATTAGTCGAGGCAATGAAGCAATAAAAAGGCCAAAAGTTCGGATTTTTTAGACTAAGACGGATCGGATTGCGGTTTTTTGCATTCGCTTCCAAAAATATTTTGAAAAAAATGCCCCTACTTTTTATCTTATACAAACCAGAAATTGCATTGCTGCAGCCAAAAATGCATTGAAAAAATGCATTTTTTGAGACGGCTTTTGGAAGATTAAAAAAATTTGTAAATAAGAGTCATAACTAGCCCAAACGGCTTGCCAGAGGTTTTCGAGGTCGCTGATCACGATTATGATGTTCAAATTGACCCACAGCCAACCTGGACCTCAGGAACGCCGATGAACATCATCTCCGTGGGACTTTCCCGAAATTCACGTGGGGAAGAAGAGAAACTCGGCGCTTGGGGGTTTTTTAGGTCGCTGAATTCAAATATGGCATCGGCGAACACCCTCCCGGATACCTGGTATGCCGAAACCTGGACGTGGACGTCATCATCGACAATTTTCCTGACAAGATCGCCAAAACCAACCCGAAAATTATTGTAGGGGCGTTTTTGGGGTGCTGAATCCAAATTTCACGTCGAAAATAATCCCCTGAACACCTGGTGCACCGGAACCTGGATACGGACCTCATCTCACACAATCAAACAAAAGACGAACCGAAAATCGTTATGGGGGGTTTTTTGGGACGCTAAATCCAAATTACACGTCGAAAATGACCCTTGCAACACCTAGTGTACCGGAACCTCGGGCTGAACGTCGTCTCTGAGGATTTTCCAGATACACGATCGCAAAAGACTAACTGAAAATCGTCTCATAATTTCACACATTAATTGAAGTGTAACTCTCACCTGGGGCCCTCGAAAAAGTTGATTCAGTCCTGTAAAATTCTAAATGCAAGAAAAATTACGAGAATAATCTCCGGCTAGATCTCCGAATTTTGTTTTCCTCCTTCCCCGCGTGAATTTTGGGAGAATCTCACGAAGTTGATGTTTAGGGCCAGGTTCTATTGCACCAGGTTTTGGGTCGTTTTCGACGGGAAATTCGGATTTAGCGTCCCAAAAAACCCCATAACGATTTTCGGTTCGTCTTTTTCGATTGTATGAGGAAAACCCACGAAGATGAGGTCCGCTTTCAGGTTTTGGTGCACCAGGTGTGCAGGGGATCGTTTTCAACGTGAAATTTTTGGATAGAGCGTCCAAAAAAAAGCGCCCCTATAATGATTTTCGGGTTATTTTTGGCGATCTTGTCAGGAAAATTCTCGAGGATGACGTCCACGTCCAGGTTCCGGCATACCAGGTATCCGGGAGGGTGTTCGCCGATGCCATATTTGAATTCAGCCATCCGAAAAACTCCCAGGCGCTGAGTTTCTCTCCTTTCCCCCATGAATTTCGGGAGAGTCCCACGGAGATGACGTTCATCGGCGCTCCTGAGCTCCAGGTCGGCTGTGGGTCAATTTGAACATCATAATCATGATCAGCGACCTCGAAAGTATTCTACAAGATATTTCGTTAGTTTCAATCACAATCTCTGTCATCCCGTAGAATCTTCTTTGATTTAAAATTATTAGGTATTTGATATTTCAAACAATCGCATTGACCACCCCATCTGATGCCACTTAATAATTTTCGGATTCCGAGTATTTATTGGTTTTATTCTATCTTTCAAGACCAAACACTAATTAGCCCTAATCAAAAGTTTTCTTTTAAATATGAAAAAGTAACGTTTTGGGAAACATTTAATGGTTTCAAAAAAATAATATCTTTAGATTAAATCCGTAATCGACCTCTATCAAGTAATTTTTGCACTAGTGCGAAAAGTTCAACTTTTGAAACAGTAAATGGTGTAAAAAGTAATAACTTTGTGCACAATCGCATATAGTCCAGTAACTGAAGGGTCAAACTTGTAGAAAATTCGCTGATGAGTTCCCACATAGCGCAATTTGTAGGTCATCGCAGTTGTTTTTAAACGAGAAAAACCTTAACGCGTTCTTGGTACCGAAAGGGGCTGAAAATGGACCCCTAAAACCTGGAAAATGGGTTTCCCGCTAATATCTGACTGAATATGCCAATTAGAGAATTTTTGTTCAGACAAAAATGAATATCAGCTCATTAGCTACAAAAATAGTTCCTATCATTTTCTTCGAAAATTCAATAGTTTTTGAGATAATGGCACTCAAAAGTCCCCTCATTTCAGCTGCTGCTCTACCTGCAGAAATTCCGCTTTCTATGAATTAACGTGTAAGCGGGCGGACGAATTGTTCCATATCTCGGGTAAAAATTGATATTTTTTGGTGATTCAAAGTTCATTGCAATGGGAAAACCCCTAGCTACAATTCCATGTGACTTGAAGTCAGTTCGTATTTGCCAAAAATATTTAAAAAAGCGGTCAAAATTTTTTTCAACAATATTGAGAGAGTGCTTCATTAATTTATTCATATTTTTTTTAAAAATAGTCATTTATTTTAATTTTGCCTTTATAATGGAACCTTGGAAGGTCTTGAATGATCTCAGAATTTTTTTGTAATATTTTTCTTGCGTTTTAATACAAAATTTATTTGTTTATTTACATGTTTTAGCCGATTTCGGAGTTCCATAGAATCTTAGGAACAAGCGCGAATTATAATCTTATGATCCGTTATATTGATTTCCAACGCACATCATTTTAAAGCTTAGATGGTCTACTTTTCAAATATATTTTTTTATTTTTAATAGAGTCTAATAATTTTCAAGAAATGAGAAAAATTGATCACACGAGTGAAAACTGGCCTATTTTTGTTTAACCATTTCTTGTTCCCCGGTTTTTATTTTTTGAGGATTAATAACTATATCAAAGTAAAGCTTGTGTTCTGACCTTTCCGTTGATATAAGTCAATCCCCATATTAGTTCTTGGTTCTAAAAAGGTTGTTACAATTATATACTTCATTTTTACGCTCCCCCTCTGAGATCCATGATATTGTATATAACCTAACCTCGTGTACCCACGCAGCGATAGTTGTCTGCATGTATTTGTATACAATCTCTGTTTTGGAGTCGTCGGATTGACCGGATTATTGATGTACTGATGATATTTTTTCATTATTTATTTTGAATTATTTATTTGAAATAAAATAAATATTTTCATTAAATTAATTCAGTTATAAAAAAAAAGAAGAAGTGTTTAAAGTGAGAAATTTCCACGTTATTCTTGTCTACAAGAAAGAATAGTCAAGGATTTTTTGTTGGAAGCAGAAAATAAACTTTGTTTTATTTTGCCTCAACTTTAAAACCTTGGTGTAATTGTTCTAACGGTTGAATCATCTATTTTTTGGTAGTTCTTGGTGTTGTTGAAATGGGAGCGGCTTTTGTTCCAGAATGCTTTCTTTGTAAGGAGGGTGTTGTGGATGACGGTGTAAATGTTACTCGAGGTTTAGAAAATTCGAGTGAGCAACGAGAGATGCGATAATTTCCACCTATTTCTCCAGAAACAATACTCTGTACGAATGCACAACAAGTGTAGGGACCGCTATATTATTAAATATCGAGGCAAGTTCGCGTACAACGAGTTTGACAAGCACCCTTCAAGACAGTTGGACCATTTTACGAGCCCGAAGAGACAAAAGAAGCGCTCCCATAGTGGCTTTGACTTTAAAAACAATTGTATGTTCTGTCAGTTTCCTGCTTCGATAGAAAAGAAGAAAAGAAAGAGTAGTTTGGTAAAGAAGCGTACCATCGTATTTGTTTCGAACACAGAATTCAAGACCACACTTCTGAATCAGATCACAGCTCATATTGATATAGAAAAGTATAAAGCGATGCTAGAAATAATTTCTGGAATCGACCTCACAGTTTTTGGTGCAAGATATCATGAAGTCTGTCGACTGCCATTCTATCGATTGTCTGAAAAAGTTTCTGGTAAGGCTAAACCGAAGGGACGGCCCAAGGACAGCACAGATTGGGAGAATTGTTGCTTATATTATGGAAACTGGGTAAGAAATGTACACCATGGCAGAATTGACCAAAATTGGAGGTATTTATCATTATTAACCAGTTACAGTATCTGAAAGTAACAAAAATATTATTTGGTTATTGGTAGTGTCTAAAAAGTAAAGGGAAATGAAGTGACAATGGTTCATATGGATTACCGAATGATAATAAAATAAATAAGTAAAATGTTGTTCAGTTTTTGGTACTTTAACAATAAATGTAATTTTTCTAAGACTTGCGTATTTTTTCCGAAATCCTGCACCCATATTATTCCGAAAACAAATTGCAAAAAAATCGCAAAAATGCGAAAAATGTTTAGAATGGTTGTATGGTGAATATTCACCACGCTCTAAAAGATTTTAGCCAAAACAACGGGATTCAAGATCTTGGCACAAGGAAAAATAAATTTTTGCAATTTTCTGGTAAATTTGCAACTCAAATTGCACAGACCATTCGCTAATACAATTGAGAGGGCCCAAGCGCTACTTTTCAGAAAAAAATCAGGTGAAATCCGCCAGTAATTGTCGAATAATTGATTATTTCCGAGATTTTCATTTATGGACTCCGTAATTTAGCGAGAAGAGCAAAGATGCTGGCGCCATCTGCAATTGGTCTCTAAAGTCCAAAAGATGAAGATCAATGCATTTCAAACCTCATCGAGCGGAAATTAGGCAAGAAATTACCATATCTATTCAATATGAAAATTATAGATTTTTCGAATTCCGATTTTGCAAAAAATATTGGCATTGCGAAAAAATTGGTAGAGATCATTTTTGTAGAGAATGAGCTGATCTTCATTTTTTGTCTAAACAAAAATTCTCTAATTAGCATATTTAGCCAGATATTAGCGGGAAACCCGTTTTTCAGAGTTTGGGGTCCATTTTCAGCCCCTTCCGGTACCAAGAACGCGTTAACGATTTTCTCATTTTAAAACACCTGCGACGACCTACAAATTGAGCTACGTGGGAACTCATCAGCGATTTTTTTACAGCTTTCGATCTTTTCACTCCTTCAGTTACTGGACTAATAGACATTATTAATATTATTATTTTGGTGTACTGTTTATAGTTTAACGGTTTTTCATTTTTGGCTAATCTTTTTTCAAGCATATTTTTTTTGGGCATATTTTCAGACATAAATATGGTTGGATATCAATGTAGTCGACAAGTATAAAAAAAACCATTTAATACGAAGAGGCCAATTACATTTTTAATTACAGGAGTCAAGCAGGCGTAATTACCCCATTAAACAAAGTTTCGTAAACCTGTTGTAGCTTAACACTTTGCAAAACCAATTTAACGCCGTTTTTAAGTTGCTGTACAGGGTAAGTCACGAAGAACTTTACGTGCTTGTCCTATAGATTTCTGGCCTGCTAAAATCTAAAATCTAAATTCAAATGACAAGATAAAACTTAATAGAATATAAACTCGAAAGGGAATCCAATCTCTCAAATGTGGACATCTTCAATGAGAAAAAAACTCGAAATATATACTGTATATTTAATAACTATTAGGGCGACCAATTTTGGCTATAGAGTCTATAAAAGTTGAACATTTGAGAAATACGTTAAGTGATTAGAAGAGTTATATGAACCTGGGAAAGATCCATCTAAGAAGATGGTTTTTTAATTACAAACAATACATTAGGGCATTCCTGAATGCATTTATAATAAACAATAAAACTAAATAATCGAATTAAATTACGGGTTTTGAGCTTACATTAAATTGTAATTAGATGAAATAAAATGGGATTCTATGTATTTTGAGGTGATCTTTTTGAAAAAAGGCAAAACAAAATGTAGCTGTTTTTCGAAAGTGCCGAAATTTTGGATTTTGTCAATTTTTCAATTTTGCGCAGGCACATGTCGAAAATAAATCAATATTTACCAAATGCAATTTACGACATTTGAAAGTTTAGGAAAAATGCTAATTTTCATGTCTCTTGAGAAATTTTGATCCGATGCACCGTTCTCGCGGTATGGACGATTGAAATTTGTTTAGTATTTTGAGGCGGCGAAGGTCGAAAAATTGAATTTGTTAAATGTTCAAACACTAAATTCTTCATAACTTTGGTAAAAATTAAGATATTTGAAAAAACAAAAATGCGTTTTGAACTAAAGAGATGTGACTATTGATTTCCATAAGGGGGCAAGAGAAATCAATCCCAAAATTGGGCATATGGCGGAAGGGCAAAGTGTACCCCGGGCCTAATTTCATTGTTTGCCTATAACGGCCAAACTATTTAAATATTTATTAATGTCACTTACAGAGCTTACTCTTAAATATAAAATCTTATACGTGTGTAAATTTCACCGAAATCGGATTATAATTGGCCAAGATATCAAACAATTAAACAAATTTTTTTTCCTAAAAAAGAAAAAAATTTTTTTTTGAAAGTTTGAATTGACACAAAAATGCCAAAAATGCACTCAATGGCTCACAACTTTTTTTGAGTACTTTATTGTGTCTAAAATACGATTACATTACGGAAAATTCTGCAAAAATATTTTATCTTTTTTTTTGACCACTGTTCAATGAACAACTCAACACGGTTTTTGAGAAAAGTTGCCTAAAATTGACGATTTTCAGTTTTTGGTCTGAAAATTAAGCAAACCCAAATTTCATGTCTTATAAATGTGTATACAAAGTTTAAAGTGTGTATGTTTCTTCTAAGTTATAAAAATTCTCCCGACAAAAGTCCCATTACCCGCGCTCCGCGGGATCCAAAACTCGTGTATACACTGCATTTCTGTAATTTAATTTTTTTTTATATTTCTTACATACCTAAATTTATTAGGCCTAAAATTTATTAAATATTTTATATATTTTACTGACTTGTTATAAGACGTTTCTTGAGTTTTGTACAAAAAAAAGGAATTACCGCAAAATTAGCCGCACGTCGTATCAAGGATAGCCATGGTCTCGGCGTTCGCTATCCCAGAAGTTTAAACTTCAAACGGTCATATTATTACAAATTAAATCGCTTGATAGTGTTCATTGGCATAGATTTTTAATAACCGTGTTCAGCAAGCTCTGTGTACACGTGGTTTTTCGGACTTCTTCAGCAATTTATTATGTTCCTAAATTAAGAAAATTCTATCACAGTGCTATAATTTTTTTGTTTCCAGGTTGCAATGGCTGGTCTGTGTTTATTATGTCATCAGACACTTGCAGAGGGTGAACTTACCCCAATTAGAGCGATAGGATTGAAAGGTCTGCAGACGGTCAGCAAAGAGAGGGGGATGATTTTTTCAGTTTTTTAGAACTAGGTTTTATATTGCATGAGAGGTGTAGCAAACATTACGTAGCTCGACGTTACGGAAAAGAGTTTATTTATAAAACCTGGGATAGGCATAAAAGGGCTGCGATTGACAATGCCAAAAAAAAAGGAGGATGGAGCATCAACCGAGAAGAAAACCAGATGTTAGAGAACAAAAAACAAGCTTATCACCAAGTTGAAACTTACACTCAGACTTAGGATTAATTTCCTAACATTTTTAAAGTATACCTTTTTGTGAATATTTTTGTGCTCTTTCCGATGGCGCAGTTAGTTTTTCAAATATATTTTTTGTTGGATGTTTTCGGAAAACCCGGAGAAAATCATGTGGGAAAAAAATTAAAAAAAAAACTACGCCTTCCGGTTTCCTGCGAATTCCCGAAAAATTATGGCAGATTTCGCCGCGGAACTTATTTTATTTGAGAGCCAACAAAAAAATACGCAACTTCTCTTGTGGGCACATTTATAATTTCGCCACAAATTTATCGCAAAGTTCATGTTCATGGTTCTGATCAAAGAAACGAAAAAACTTTCTGGTAAAAGTACTTCTGGCGGCGTGAATTTCCGAACTATTTTTGCCTCCTCTTACGATTGGTGCATTTATTTTTACTATCAGAATGATACTTGCCCAAATAATTAGCATTTTTACCATGGAAAATTCCGGAAAATCCAGTTTATCCTAATTTAAAAAAAAATTGAAAAACAGCTACATCTTTTTTTAATTTTTTCGGAAAGATCACATCAAAATACACAAGGTCCACTTTGTTTCATCCAATTACAAATTAATGTAAGCTCGAAGGGGCTTTTTTTCGTTATTTAATTGGACAAGTATTATACGAAATTTAGCAAGTTGCAGCAAATGAGTTACACATGTGGCGGAATGTGAATAGAAATATTAATAATACATATTAAAATAAAAAATATATAAAAATAACTAACATTGGGCCAATTAAAAAACCCCAGCAAAGAGTGGCATGAGGTAGGATAATGTTTTGGTAAATGTTGATGTGTGATAAAATTTGAGTATTTGAAATCTGAGGGATAAGTAACCCAATTATCATCAAAAACAATCTAAGTATTCACTCATACTAGTGGCCTTTAATCTTAAACAAGGCCAGTAGATGAGGTCGACGAATAATGGGAGCTCTTAGAGAGGAAGATATTAGATTCAAAGAGGGTTGAATATTTTGTTTATTACCAGTATCATACGTGAAGAGGTATATGAAATTTGGCTTTCGGCCCAAATATATGGAAGAGGGAATAAGAGAGTCGGTAGCATCTGCACGATTCAGATAATAAACACCAAGGTTAATGAGGTTGTTCAACTGATCAAAAATTGACACTACAATAGCTATTTGTGTATTAAGAGCAGAAAGTAGCACTTTGGCAGTTGAGACAGAAAGTTGCCACGTGACGCGTTAGCGGAAATATAATTTTATTAGAAAAGGATTACTTTCTTTCATAAGCCTACTCTTCGAAAAGAAAAAATGTTTTAGTATTTATATGTCGTTAATTATTTATGATTTAGTCATTTAATTATTTACGATAAATACTGTTGGATAATTTAAAATATGTATTAGTAAGTCAATTAAAATAATTTTGATTCGCCTACATTTTTTTTTTAAATACCGATTAGCTTTCTTTTATTTAATTCAAATGAAAACAGACAAGCGTGTGTCAAAGTAACTTTGACGAACGTGGGCGCCAATAATGTAAAGTTATGACA